TAAAATTAAGAGAATTTTAATTATTAAAATACTAAAAAAAATGAATTGAAATGAAAATGAATCTTTTTGTTGGCTTAAAATTGAAGGAACTTAATGATAATACTTTTAAAAAGCCCTCCAACTGCTTCACACATACTAAAATATATACTCTCCCCCTACACAAAGCTGACTAAGCCAACAGAAGGGGGAAAAAAATCATGCAAACTATGAACAACTGACTGTTACAAGAAAGATGTCCTTACTTGCAGTTCCCCTGTCAGTTTGGCACTTTGATACACAGCAGTTCCAGATTATTAAGCACTGAAAATATAAACTTGACCATATACAGTAAAACAAGTTACACAACTAGTATTAATATATTTCAAAATGTATGCTAGGGCTGTACAGAGCAATATTTTATTATCCTGGGAAGAATCTTGCCGGCCTGCTGCCAATCTTAATTTGACCTGTGGACAATATTAACTATTCTGTTGCCTGCAGCATTTTTTAAAACAGAACTTAGAAAAAAAATGAAAGCCAAAACTAGAAGCCAGCTGAAAGCCAAGTGTTTTTTTTAAAAACACTTTGTTCTCATTTTTATTTCAACAGATTCATAAGTGATTCTACATGTACATACCTCCCTCCTCACAGAAATCATAGAAAATTAGGGTTGGAAGGGACCTCAGGAGGTCATCTAGTCCAACCCCCGCTCCAAGCAGGACCAGCCCTAATTAAATCTTCCCAGCCAAGGTTTTGGGGTCTTAAAAACCTCTAAGGATGGAGATTCTACAACCTTTCTGCATAGCCTGTTCCAGTACTTTACTATCCTCCTAGTGAGAAAGTTTCACTTCCCCGCCCCCCCCAAATATCCAGCCTAAACTTCCTTGGCTGGAACTTGAGACCATTACTCCTTGTTCCATCATCTGCCACCGCTGAGAACAGTCTAGCTCCATCCTCTTTGGAACCCCGCAGTAGGTAATTGAAGGTTGCGCCCGGTGGTTTCATTTCAACTATCCTCCTTCTCCCTCCCCCTTGACTAATAGATAGTTTATATTTTTTTCCCCTTTTTGTTTCTAGTATTTGGTGCATCTCTTGACTTTTTTTTTTTAAAAACAACAAAAGAAATTACAGCATTCCTTTAAAATCAAATGCACAAAAAGCCCCTTAATCCTTTGCTTTTTTCAATGTCTCTTAAAGGAACACACAGGATTAAAAAACTAACTCTTCATAATGGTACCTGAAGTTCACAGTTCTGCATTTCTCCTGCAGGTGGGCAGAGAACTCTAATCACTGATCTGTAAGTATTAATGAGCTAGCCATCCATTACAGGCAACATACAGACCCCATGAATTCAAAAAGGGGTGTTAGCAACAAAGAATTTTTTATCAAAAAAAGTTACAGGTTGAACTTAAAGATGATCTTTTCTTAAAAAAAAATTGCATATTCACAGCTGCCATAGTCTAATCTTGTTTCATATTATCATAATCATCCATTATATCTACCACGCTCTAAGGCTGTGTCTAGCTAGGTCTTAAAAGCCTGCAAGGATGGAGAGTTCACAACTTCTCTGGGTAATGTTCCAGTGTTTTACTAAGCTCCTAGTGAGAAAATTCTCCCTAATATCCAACTTAAACTTCCCATGCTGCAACTTGAGCCTGTGATCAAAGTTAAGTGCTAGTATTACAAGTAGGTAATATTCTGATGCAGCATGCCTCAAGCAAGGACAGAACCTGCCATTGGCAGTCTTAGTTTATTCTAGGATTTTAATTTTTTTTTAAAGTAAGTTTAACACTAGTGTACATGCAGGCCCCCTCAGAGGTCGAGAGAGGCCCAGGCCACTTCCATTCTTTGAGGCTCCTGGTATATTAAAAAAAATATTAATTCATAGTGCATTACAGGCAATGTGGCCCAGTAATGGGACACAAGTTTAAAGTTGTATGATGAACGTCTTCTTCTTTCAATCCTGTCAGTGTATCTCTGTGTCTGTATGTATAAACTCATTTGGAGATAACGTCAAAAGTCTAAATTTGAGGCCCTCCATGAATGAGAGGCCCGGGCCAAATGGTCCTCCTGGCCCCCCCTATGATAGGCCCTGTGTACATGCACACACAAAAGGAGTTAGTTCTAGAGCTGAAGAAGAATATCACAGAACAGCTCCAGCAGCCATAACTTAAACACAGTGATTCTCAACCAGGGTACCTCGAGATCCTTTTAAGGTTGCTGTGGGTGCTATGCAATGTTAGCACTGTACAAACATGATCCACAAGATAAACCTAGACATTTCAAACAGGAATTCATAGGGTTAAAACATTCAGGCCTGCTCTAGTCCGACTTCTTTGCAACAGAAGAATTGCTCTATTATCTTTCTGAAGTCAAAAGAGTAAAAACTAAGGGCTGGCATTTTCTGAAGGAAGCCTGGAGTCTAAAAACCAGTGTGAACTACTGCTTTAAGAAAACCCATAACGAGCACATAGCACAGGGGGCCCCAAAGCGTGTGGGTCCACAGACCTCCTGGGTGTCCACAAACTGTCTAAGCGGTCAAAAAAAGATGATCATAAATCAAAAGTATTTGAATACCCCACTTACAATTCACAAGGGTCCACACCACCATTTGAAAACTTTTTAGGGGTCTGCAAATGAAAAAAAGGTTGAAAAACCACAGCTCTAGCATAACTGTGAGCGCATGCAGAGCTCAGGCGAGTCCAACTGTACAACCTAAAACTTATGTTCATGGGAATCACTGTTTCAAGCCTATTAGTGGTAACTACCTCAGATTAAAAATTTCCCAGGGTGAACAATGCTCTTATAAAAGGCAACATATTCCCCTACTACTCCTCAGAACTACCTGCCTGCTATCCATGTTTAAGGTGCTCGAATACATCTACATTCCACAATCTCCTGTTCTGCAAGTTACTAAGTTCAGAGCAAAAACAAGCTTTACAAGCCACTCCAACCTATTGACTTTGTACCACAGACTGCTAAAAAGATCAGAGCTGTTGAAAAGTACCAGTGGTGCTTTATTCCCATTTTAAATACCCAAATCAGTTTTTAGGAATCTAGATCTGACCGAAAACAAGTGGGATTTAAAAGACTAAGGATAAGGCTTTCAAGGGTTTTAACACTGCTGGAGATGCAGATATATGCCTAATGGGTGTGGAGTTAGATGCTTATCTGCATGTATAAGTATTCTGATTTTTAAAAAACCTGACTTTTAGAGACTAGATTGCTTTTGAGTGGGAGGTATGGACCTGTGAAATTTTTACCTAGGCTCTTAACAGTCTGTAACCAAAACACCATGGAGTTGCAAATAATTCTTAAATGTCTTTGAGAAAGTTGTTTTTCTGAAGCATAGCCCAGGTCTGGTTTTTAATATGTGGTGGAAGCTTTGTAAAGAAGTGTTTTACACATTTCCATGTAGTGGTCATACACAATGCTCTGTTTCCTTTTTCTTAAATTACAGTTTACCTGGGTAACTGTGTGAACAGAGGCTCTTGCAAATTAGCTTTCACACCACCCCACCTGATAAACTGTGGCCACAACTCAGTGACAGAATAACTGTTTAGAATCATATAAGATGAGGCTTGGAAGGGACCTCAGAAGGACATCTAGTCCAACCTCCTGCTCAAAGTAAGATCACCCTCAGCTAGATCATCCCAGTCAAGCCTGTGTCTAGCTGGGTCTTAAAAGCCTGCAAGGATGGAGAGTTCACAACTTCTCTGGGTAACCTGTTCCAGTGTTTTACTAAGCTCCTAGTGAGAAAATTCTTCCTAATATCCAACTTAAACTTCCTGTGCTGCAACTTGAGCCTGTTGCTGCTTGTTCTGTCAACATATCTGTAGTCACATGGTGTGATGTCACTGAACAGGACTGTTGCACTGCTATAGGAATCAAATCTAACATGTTATTTTTTAAAATTACTGATGGAAATGAAAGAAAAATATATTATAAAAGCTACTCCTTGTTTAAATGATGATCTGAACATTTCTACACCTATCATTCATAAGGAACAGAATGTAGTCAGTCATTCTCAAACCTTCTCAAGTCATCTTTAAGTTTCCTATACTGCTGAACACCCATATAATTCTGTTACATGGATAAAAAAGGAACTCTTTCTATGCCCTTATAGCTATTCTGTAACGTCTCCAACAGCTTGAGACAGTAGTTCTTCATTTTTCTTCCTTTTCTTCAACTTATGTTTCCCCTTTCTCTTCTGCTTTCCCCATTTCTTCCTTTCACCTAACTTCTAGAAGTTTACCATGTGCTCTATTTTGAAAAAATGTGAAGCATCAAAATAACATCTACTGGGCCTGGCTGCTTTGTTTCTCATTTAAAGTAAGTCTTGAAAAGTCTGAACTCCAGTATGTAGGACAGAGAGAAGTCATCATCACCCCAGGACAGGTATGCATCGACAATTCTCCCAACAACAAAAACCCCATCAATGGTCTGCCAGGGACTACGAGACAAATGCATCTTAACTCTGACCAGGACACTGCTGCAGTGTCAGATAGCACAGGAAATAATTTTCATTGCTTACAGAAGCCAGTGTTTTCTGGACAAGATGCACAATAAAATAAAAATAATTTAAGCTTGAATTTTTCTATGATCATCCAATCACTCATTTTATAAATACCTGATCTTGTTGCAATGTGTAGCACTATATATTAAATCTCCAGTTGTAAACCATTCCCACTACAGAATTCTTATCAACTGGCTAAAAAAGCATACACAATTTAAAGTTTATACTGTCAGATTCATCACAGAATTCCCATTAGTGAATCTGATGCACCACAAATGGGAAGTGTCTACTGTCTTCTTAGAGAATAAAAGAATCCAAGACCAAACATAAGTTTGCTCATTCACCAGCTGAAAATCTTTATGATCCGTTACAGAAGTATATCTGCTGGATTGTCATACACAACAATGTATATCCAAATTAAAACTGTGAAACAGAGAAAAATTATATCATATGGTAAAGTCACAATAATAGGGGGTGGGGAAAAGTACTGAACTCCAGCACTAACCTTGTTGTTCACACTCCGCTTCAACTTTTGCAGGGCTTGGTGCTACAGGAAGGGGTCGTGGAGGACGAGGCTTTGGAGTTGGAGGAGAAATCTTTTTTCTTCCAATGTACTCTACATATGTTCCTGGAAAGTCACCCCTCTCCCCTGTGGTTTCATTAAAGCCATTCAACCAACCAATTTCTTCAGGCTTTGCTTCTTCCCCTTCGCTGAATCCAAGTGCTAGTAAGGTACCTTTATTCACAGTTAATATATCCCCTACATGCAAGTCAATGTCTTCTTCCCGCTCTTTTTTGTAGTCATATAAAGCTCTGTACTGGTATCCTTCTGCACTCATCCTTGGGAAGTGTTTTAACATTCAATAATATTATTAAACAATATGAAACCTGAACTGTCCAGTTATATTTTATGTACAAATATATACTAAAAGGGATAGAAAAATGTCAATAGTAATTCCTAAAGAATAAAATCATCCAGAGATTCAAAAAGCACCAAGATCAGTCATTATGTTGCCGATAATTTATTTGCGTATTTATTTTTAATTAATGATGTTGCAGAAGAATGGGTTCCACTTTTATAGCAATAGTCTTCCAATCAGTTTCTCTTCCGAGTTTCCCGGCAGTTCTGGGTCCAAATATATGAGTTTATCTGGGTTTTAGAGCCTGCAACTCCTCCTTCCAATGTACTTGCCATAGAGGGCTCATGCGTCTTAAACCTTTTGTCACTGAGCTTTGCATACATGCTTTACCTAAAAAAAGGAAAAAAAAAATACAAAGGAAAATTTGTGGGGTTTTTCATGTTTTACTAGACTTGTGAACTTAAGAACACAGCCATGTTTTGGATAGGTCTTGTGATCACACGGAAAGGCCCAAGAGAGGGTTGAGAATTGCACCAATGTAAAATATAAATACATTAATGTAGCTATATTACTCATCTCTAATTGATTGAGTACAAAATTCTGGGTTATTTTTGGTGAAAATAGAGTATCAGACTTTGGTTTAGGAACCAGACCCCCACTTATAACATTGTTCCTATGGAAAAAATCAGTTCCGCGTTACAACGTTTCAACTTAAGACGGGTTTCAGGAACTAATTGTGTCGTAAATCCGAGGACTGTTTGTATTTGGAAATTCCTAGTGAATACCACAGTGTCTGGAAAGGACTTTCTCTACCACCTTTCTCACAATGCAGCCTCTAACTTGGCATTAGAAGTCCATCTAGCCTTTCTGATGACCCATAGCCACAACTTATCTTAGCAAAGGAATGACAGAACAGAAGCCCACTGGAACTGGTGCTGACATGGACAACATTATTTTCTTCTGTGGTTCTAGCAGAGAGGATGAGGATCTGAAGAGTAGTTTCCCCTTAACCTACCAGGGCTTTATATAAGTTTGCACAGAACAGCTTGGGAGAAGAAAGACTGATGCTACTTGGATTAAACAACCCTTCAGGGGATATCTGGGATATTTCATAAAAGTGTACAAGAAAAAAGTCAGAGGTGATCTTACCCTCTTTCGCAGGTATAATTTCTCTTAAAATTGCACTCTTCAGGGTTTTTAGGCTTTCTGCCCACCCTATTTAAAAACAATCATCCTAGTGCTAAATATCAGCAACTGAAACTGACACACCCAGGCTACAGAAGGAGCAGCAGCAGCTCTTGGGCAGTGTTGGGGGAGCACCCTGAAATTATACGTGTATGGCTGCAGGTCTGAAAATTCCCATCTGGCCTTTTTGACTAACTGATGAAAAAATGCTGTTAACATTTTTTAATATACTAAAAAGTAGCTCAGAAACTTACAGCACACAGAGGTCTTTCTAAAAATCTTTGTTATTTTAACTGTTGTTCATTTCCATTTGTTTAAAAAGCCAATTTGATGCATAATCTGAATAGCTGTGTTGGAAACAAAAGTAGTACAAAATATTCAATGTCATATTGTAAAATTTAAATTGCAGTAGACTAAACACTTTAACAGGGTTATGTAATACCACTAGGTAATAATTTTACTGAATACGAAATTCTTAGTTTAGCAGGAAGCTGGATTTATTCAGAGTAACACTCACTTTCACACTAGAAAGAGGTGATATCTCAGTCAACAAATTTATATATCGCATAGCTAACTGCAAACTGTTTTGTAAGAAATGATATGGCACCACATTTAATGAGATTCTGAATTGAAACATTTATTCCCTTAACTAAATCAAAATTAATCTCTTTCTCCCTAACAAACCCCAAAAGATGCGTCCACTTATCAACCGTATAATAGGGTGGCTCAGTTGTTTCTGCAGCACCGTTCTTTATGTTTCAGAGACCTAACAAAGTGTACTCAGTAGGTCCAAGAACAGCAGACACTGAACAGGAAAAAGAATTATAAATACACTAAAAATCTCCCCCATGTTCAGCACTAGAGCATGCAGGGAAAGAAGGAAGGTGGGAGTGCTGAGGGCTACAGCCTTTGCCTTCTATCTGATGGTCCTGATCTTCAGTAAATTCATAGTTTCATAGATGTTAGGGTTGGAAGGGACCTATTAGATCATTGAGTCTGACCCCCTGCCCTGGGCAGGAATGAGTGCTTGGGTCAGATGACCTCAGCCAGGTATCTGTCCAATCTCCTTTTAAATACCTCCAAAGAAGGGGACAGCACCACATTCCTCAGAAGCTTATTCCATATTTTGGCAACCCCCGCTGTAAAGAATTTTTTCCTGATGTCCAATCTGAATTTGCTCTCTTCCAGTTTGTGGCCATTATTTCTAGTTACCCTGACAGGTGCCCTGGTTAACTTTGTATCCCCTATTTTTTGCTGGCCCCACCTGATGAGTTCCCTCTTTTCTACTTAGTTCCCAATGGAGCCACAAGAAGCTGACAGGTCCCATAACCTACATGACATGAGGATTATCCCTACAGCCCCTGCAACATTATACAGAGACATCTGTCTGCAAGTGCCTGGCTCCCCCAGCTTTTCCTACAGTATGACGAAATATGACTCAACTCCCTCTGAGCTTCAAAGTGAAGTCTCCTTATGCACTTTGGAAAATCCCACCCCTAACTTGTAGCTCATGCTGCTTAATATAAAGAATCTGTAAACTTTTAAATTAAAATGGATATTTTTCTTTGTTGGCTGCTAATTTAGTTTCTCATTCAAAGGCAAATGTAGACAATCCTTGCAGAATAAGGGGGCAAGGGGGAGGGGGAATCTGCAACACAAGCAACAATTAAAAGGTACAGCAGTAATGTTGTAAGCATGGACTACTCCCATTTCTTACAAGGGAACACAGTGCACTTACACACCTTAGTTCTGGATTTGGAACTCAACTGTTTCCCATTTTAAAAAAAACATCAAAAAGGCACAGCAAAACTTGTTACAAAATTACCACTTCCACAAGCCTAAATTTTCTGAAATATTTAATTTTCTTGTTAAGAAAGGTTCAACAAGTGCTCTACTACAACCACACACTTTGCTCTTACTGCCTGCAGGCATTTTGGCAGATAACCAAATCATTCTTCTGAACGCTGCATAATTTAACTGACTTGACCTACTCCTCCTATCTTTTGTCATCAGATATCACAGCAACTTGAAAAAAAAACCCTACTTACTATCAGTAAAGACTGGTTATATCCCTCACATGTGGCCTATCAATTCAAAATTTGAAATCTTGTAGAAACTTGTGAAATATTTTTGATCTAGTTTAAAATAGGAAACTCCAAACTGATTAAGTCCACATCCAAAAGAAAGAAATGTGAAAAAAAGGCCTAATTTGTACGTCAGAACTATTTTAGACTTGAGCAAGTACTACAAGGTTGCCTCAAGTCCAGCTAGCTGGACACTGGCAGAATTCTCAAGAAATACTGAGCTGCTGTAATGCCTCCGGCCCAGCCACCATCAGCACGGCCTTGTCATCTTTGCATGTGACTACAGGTTTCCCTCACTTGATGCAGGTTCAGTATGCGCAAATTCAGTCTTAAGCAATAACACTTTTTATACCAAAAATTTGTTATATGTGAGGTAAACTCACTCTTATGCGATTGGTGTGGTAGAACCCAGTCAGCTGCTTTGTGCAGTGCATTGTGGGAGTAACACGCACCAAAATATAGCCTCCTGTGTGGATCTGTGCCCCTCGCTTGTTGTTTGCGACACGTGTTTCTGTAGTTGCCATCCCCATTATGATACTGCCCTGTGCTTGTGTGTAGTGTCTGCTGTTGGTGAGTACCAAAATTGTCTTGTAAAAGTGGTAGCAATGAGTCTGGGGGTCAGCAGAGTCGAGGTCTTGACACATATTCCTATTTGTTACATTGTAAAGTGTGTTCCCTTTATGTGAATGAGTTATGTGCCGTTTTCCAGAAACGCGTGTACAGCACAAAGCGAGGGAAACCCAGATCTCTGGTTGCTGCAACAAAACCTGGCAACAACTAGTACACTGTTGTGTATAGGCCAGGGCAGAGTGGCTGGATTCACACTTGCAGGTACCCAGTAACCCAAACAACGTCACACAGGATGCAGAGTCGCACCATCTTTATAGTTTATGGCCAAAAACAAAGAGCCTCAATGGAGCATCAGGTCCTTGTCCATTTGGGGCTGAGGACAACTTCTAGCCCCTACCAACTTCCTCACATACATACCAGTTGCTCCATGTTTGTGCACTGGTAAGCAAACATGCCCTTAGAGAGTTACTGGAGGCTCTTACAAACCTATACCTATACAACAGAGGAGGAAAATGCTCTTTTCCATCTCTTCCTCATCAAAAATTATATTCAGACTTCCAAACCAGCGGTAGGCAAGTATTCCCTCTCACAACATTCCTTTAACTGGCTGAGGAAAAAAAAGCATCCGTCTCTACCCATTGCTTCTGACAAGGCTAAAGCAACATCTGAATCCAATACTTATTCCACATGCTTATCAAGGTAACAAAGCATTTTTCCCTTCTTAGGTAGTCATGCCTAAGGAACAATTGTATCTTGTCTTGTCAGACAATGATACACATGCTTTCATCTGACTTTTTTTTCCAAAGATTCCCTGAATTGACAGTGAAGGACAAATAAAATCCTAGAGGGGGAAGGGACTGCAGAGTGCATTAACTTCTCTTCCACAGCAGTCATGTGAGCTTTGTCAGCAGAAGCTGACCAACAAATTTAGAGAGGCAGAGCAAAAGCACTAAAATGAGACAAACTGAACTTTAATACAGACTTGCTTGAAGGCTAATTCTCTTCTCCCCACTAGGTGTCTACACAGGTGCAAGTCAAATTTCAGTTATCTCTACATTGAATTGCTTTGGATGCTGCCATTCTCTAAATAGAAGTAAACAAGATAAGCAACTCATCTGGATGTTATCTTCCTTAGGAAAATAGCAAACAAAGAAGGATTTATTATCTAACTTGTATCCCCTTATCTTCGGAGAAAACTGCCTAAGCCTCTGAGGTTTCTTGCACTGAAAGAGTTCAAGTATTTCTGTGCAAATAAGTTAACCGAATCAGATCTATATTTCAAAAAGTTACACCACTCTGGCACGCACCATAAAACACTACATGCACAATGACCACCACTGCAGGGCCACATTACTGAGGGGAAAAGAAAAAACACAAGACTTTTTCTTTTACCAGCTTATCTTGCTGCCACTGCTAAGCGTCTTCCCATGGTATTAAGCAGCAGAAGGAGTTCACCCTCTGCACTGCCCCAGGAGACCTCCACTGACAGCAGTCGAGAGGTCACCTACAGACTGAAATCTCCTTTCAGGGGAAATCGGCTTTGCAGCAGGCGAAGGGCCGGGCCCCTAGACCAGCTCCTCGCAGGTGTCAGCACGACCTACTGCACCCGCAGCTCCTCTGTGGCTTGGGGCAGGAATCTGGCAACCAGGGCCAGTCCTTTCCTCCCCTGCCGAACCCGAAGGCTCCTCAGTTCCTGGGAAAAGTCCACAGCAGGGAACAAAAGCTGTGCGCCCAGCAGGCACGGGGAGCCCAGAAGCCAGCCCTTTCTCTAAGTCTCTCAAAGTCCCCCCGCAGAAAAAACAAAACAAAACAAAACAAAACAAAAAAACCCAACAGAAAACCCCACAAAAACCCTCCCTTGCCAAGGAAGGCGATGGCTAGAGACCTTTTGTTTGAAATGTTACAGGAAGAGCTGTAGGAGCCAGGAAGGGAAGAGAAGGGCAAAACCTTGCACGCCTCTCAGCCCGGGGGTGCAGGGGAGGCGGCGTCCCGGGGTCGCTGCTCCTGCTCCGCTCAGCCCAAGCCTGGGGGCAGCGCCCGCGCCCGCTTTGTTCCCGGCCCCGAGGTCTCGCTGCAGGGAGCCGGCCGCACTTCCGCACACAACGGGGAAGGACAGCGCCGGGTCCCGCCGTCTGCCCAACCGCCGCGCCGCGCCGCTCCTACCTTCCCGTTCCCGGTCGGGCGCTCCGCACAGTGCCACCGCCGCCGCCCCGGAGAGTGTGCACCGGGCCCCTGCCGGCTCCGCGCCGCCC